GGTGATGAACATATAGTTCTCTACTTGAACCCACATTGACCCGAACATGAAGTAGTATGAACCCGAAGTAACCTGAAATTTTAAAAAATGAAGTCATCAGTTGTTGGGCCAACCCAGAGTCCGAGACCCAATTATAAGAGGAGGCTGTGGTGTTAATATTCCTTACCTTACGTCTTATACAAGTGAATATGATGTTCTTGCAAATATTCAACTAAACAAACCATTTGAACACTACACCAATGGCAAATCTTCAAAGAAAAAGTGTAGTTTTAATATTTTAAAAAAATCAGACTTTGAACTGTTTGCTAATGAGTCAAATGAAGAGTCAAATGTAATCATTTACTCTTATTTTCATTTCTCTTTAATATTATTATCTTAATCTCCCCCTAAATAAAATTCACTTATAACATTCACACATTAAATGATTAAAAGGGGGTAGTAGTAGTTGCAGGACTGTAAAAAAAAGTAGTAGGAGTAATCTTCGTCCATTCAGCTTCAATTACACAAAATAGGGCCAGAAAAATATTGACAATTAGGTAAAAGTACGGGGCAATTTTGATTCTTGGCTGGATTGCATTTTTGCAATTTGTCTAATTAGGGGTATTGATTTGCAATTCAATCAATAAGGGGTGCTGAAAGAAGAAATATGATCTCATAATCTAACCAGCAATCCTAATAACCTTGGAAAGAATAAGCAATCAAAATATCAGCCCTCTTTGTTTAACTAAAAGCTAGACGCGGAATAATAGATGCAGATATGAAAGACGAAAGAATTGTAAAGCAACACAAAGAAAGAGTGCAGATATGAATCCCGCAATGATTGATTAAAAGGCTAAGAAGCGGTTGTTTTTGGTGCTGCCTGCTCTTCACAATTTAAATACAATAGTTTTAAGAAAAGGTCATAAAGAAGAAGATAGTGCCTGATGGGTTAGGCGGAGTTGCTCGATAGATGCACCATGATTGGTGAACGGGCGCAAACTTGTCAAAATGCGTCCAAAATTGAATCTGGAATGTTTCTTCTTCGTACTGGCTCATTCGTGCACAATGGGTTTGGCTAATTCTGAGGGTCGACCGATGGGTTCCGGAAGCTGCTCACCGGAATCGATGCTTGATGGGCCGGTTTCTTGAACTTCTCCGGTCGCATAGGGGAACAGGCGCCGGTTAAAGCAAATGAAACGGCGTTTTTGGGTGGCGTCTGATTTTCAAGGCCGAATGTGAAACGCTCTTGTAAACACTAACTCCACCTCAATGGCATGTCACCTCCATCTCACCTTCCACGTGTCACCCTCACATAATGTGTAGTGAGTAGAAATAATCATTTTTTAAGTCTCTTATGTCATTTCTTTGAATTGTGGATTTCAGATAGATCATTTTTTAAGTCTCTTATGGAAGGGGGCATTCAAGTTTGGGTGCAATGAGATATTGAAAGTACTTACGTGCAGCAGATTATCAGAGGTTGAGGTTTCAATGCCGTTGGTCCATTTTCGTATCCCCCTCTTGTGACGAGTAACCTGCGATTCATTGGCAATAGCTTTGGAGTAACTCTTGTGACGAGTACCCCGCTTTAGCAATTTGAAAATGTTACGTAATGGTACTTTCAGCGTGTTCAAAA